TGCTGGAAGACTCTCCCAGCCGGCGGCACCATCCTGCCCTGCCTGGCGGAGCGAATCCCCCCGCCCGGGGTGGGCAGCCCAGGTGTGAAGGTCGGGGGCTGTGCCCGCAGCCCGCAGCCACCATCGCCCCTTCCCGCACGCAGCCGCCTCGCCGGGGGTTGTTGTTTTACCTGGTTTTAATGCTCGAGGATCAGCTTGCTCCCCCTCGCCCCGTTTTTATTTTTTTCCTCGCCGGTCCTTCCAGCCCTCGGTGCGAAGCCTCATTCCTCGGCGAGCATCGCTAATAGCGTTGGCAGAGAGCTGGCATCGACTTGCACTTAATATTCCTGCCCCATTGGATCTGCTGATAAATCTCAACTCTGACGTCAAAGTCTTCACTTATATTCATGATCCAAGTCTGTGAATCAGAGGCGCTGTGATCAGAATAACAACGAGGCCGGCTCCCCGCTCCACATCCCCATCCACACCCGCAGCCACGGGGGATGCGCACCCGCCCCGCCGATCCTTCATTCATCCACAGCCTCTCCCGACGCACCTCCCCAAGGTCGGGGCCCGCTGCACCTGCGTCCTGCGGATGCAGCTTGGGCACCGGCCAGGCCCCGGAGCCTCGCTGGGTTTATTTTTACCGCTTGTGCCGAGGGATGCGAGGGGAGGCGGCTCCGGGGCCGCGCTCCTCAAGGACAATGTCCGGCAGCGCTGCCCCGAGCCTCCGGGACGCGGCGGATCGGGGATGCTGCGCGGCCAGGCTGGGGCAGGGACATCCCTCCACGGGGAAACGTCGCAGCCCAGAGCCTTCGCCCCACACGGGATTCCCTCCAGCCAGCCAAAAGCTGGGATGAGGAGGATCTCGCTGGGATTGGAACCTGCCCAAGGACGCTGAGTATGAGGGTCTGGTCCCCTCGCCGCAGCACCCACCCATCCCCGGAGCTTCCTCCCCGACTGTTTGGGAAAGGAAGAGCCCGGAAAGGAACAAATCCCAAAGACACGATTATTTTTTCCAGCTATAAATGGCTCCGTGATTCATCTTGGGAGCGGGATCATCAAAGCGGGGATGCTCAGCTCCTGGATCCACAGGATTTCAGCTACACCTTCTCCCCCTTTTCCCACCGCTTTCGTAACACCCCAGCTCCCCTCTCTCATCCCCCTCTCTCTTCCAGCCTGGAGCTTTGCGGTGCAGCCAGCTCAGCGCTGGGAAGGATTTCCAGCTCCGATGCGCAGAGATATTTGGGTGAACACCGGCGATTTCGGCTGAACCCAACCGCCCCAATTTGGAGCATCTGGGTTCCTAATCAGGCCAAGCCCCATCCCGGGGGACTTGAATCGTCATTTACCTGGGGCCAGGGCCCCGTGACCGAGCTCCGTGAGCCGAGTGACAGCGGAGTGACAGAAGGGGCGGAGGAGCTGAATGAATCCGCTCCCGGGAGTTACGCACCGGCCGGGGGAAGGGGAGGAGGCTCAGGGGCTCTGCCTGGCTCCCCTCCCCAACAGGAAAGGGGTGCAAGGAGCGCTGGCGGCACAGGGGATGTGCCGGCTGTTCCTGGTGGTCTGTGGGGGTCAGAGCCCACCCAGGCCTGGCCAGGAGCGGCTGCGGGGCTGGGCAGGGATGTCCCTGCTGTCCCCAGCCCGCCGGCAGCGAGGCTGAGCGAGGATGGGCACACGCAGCACACACCGGTGACCCAGCCTGGCCCTTGCAGGGACACGCACTCTCCAGAGGGTCCCGGAGCTGATCCCAGACCCCGTGGGCTCGCTGGAGTTGCCTTGGTCCCCCTGCTCCATCCAGCATCCCACCCTTGCTGCCCTCTCCA